GGCCTTCCTGACCTCTCGTGCCTGGACAGCCTCTCCGGGGGCTGCCTCCCCACCCTGCCTCCCTATGGCCTGCTCGCCTCCCTACCCCAGCTCCCTACGCGCGCCTGGGATGCGGGTGCTCTCTGCTCACACCCTTCCGTCCTGTGTGGTGCTGAGTCCCCCACACACGAGGGACCCCAGAATCGCCTGCCACGTGAATAAACAAAGTCAGATTTGAAATGCTTAAAAGCAAACTGAATTTAACTTGTAAGAGGAGAAGAGAAAAATGTTCATTTAAAAACATTGTATTTTGTTTTCTTTCCAAATAAATTTACTTGTAGGCAATGGAAATGTCGGTTCTCTTAACAACAATCCTTAGGATGGCTGTAAAGTTGTCTGTTGCATCCTGTGTGTGTGTCTGTGTGACTGTGACTGTGAGAATGTCTGAGAGAGGACATGTGTGTGTGTGTGAGTGTATGACTGTGTGAGAGTGTGCTGTGTGTGACTGTGAGTGTGTGTGAGAGAATGTGAGTCTGAGAGGATGTGTGTGTGTGTGTGTGTGACTGTGTGAGAGAATGTGAGTCTGAGAGGACATGTGTGTGAGTGTATGACTGTGTGAGAGTGTGACTGTGTGTGACTGTGAGTGTGTGTGACTGAGAATGTGAGTCTGAGAGGATGTGTGTGTGTGTGTGACTGTGTGAGAGAATGTGAGTCTGAGAGGACATGTGTGTGTGTGAGTGTATGACTGTGTGAGTGTGACTGTGTGTGACTGTGAGTGTGTGTGAGAGAATGTGAGTCTGAGAGGATGTGTGTGTGTGTGACTGTGTGAGAGAATGTGAGTCTGAGAGGACATGTGTGTGTGTGAGTGTATGATTGTGTGAGTGTGACTGTGTGTGACTGTGAGTGTGTGTGACTGAGAATGTGAGTCTGAGAGGATGTGTGTGTGTGTGTGACTGAGAGAATGTGAGTCTGAGAGGACATGTGTGTGTGTGAGTGTATGACTGTGTGAGAGTGTGACTGTGTGTGACTGAGTGTGTGTGACTGAAAGAATGTGAGTCTGAGAGGATGTATGTGTGTGTGTGTGTGTGACTGTGAGTGTGTGTGACTGAGAGAATGTGAGTCTGAGAGGATGTGTGTGTGTGTGACTGTGTGAGAGAATGTGAGTCTGAGAGGACGTGTGTGTGTGAGCGTGGTGTGTGTGTAAGTGTGGTGAGTGAGGAGTGTGTGAGTGTTCAAGATTCCCTACATAACGGGATACACACAGATGCAGTGGTAAGCGGATGAATACCATCTTCATGTATTTTGAGGAGGACGGTTTCTCTTCTGAATCAGCCTATGTGTCTACGGGTTAATCTGCTTGTTCTTTGCCATCAGAAAAGGGACATTATGTTGGTTGGAGGAAACTGGTGACAAGTGGTAAACAGAGTAGCTGCGGACAAGAGCAAATGGACACAGGTCTGTAATCGCCATGTAAATGTTACCGCCCACCCATTAATGCACGACTGACTGTTAAACCAACCGACCCGCTGCAGAGCACCTGCCTGCGCCAGGTCAGGGTCTCTGGAGCCCGCTGCCAGCAGAGACAATTGCACGTGTCTCTGACAATGTCCTAATGGAGGCCCCTGCACTGCCAGCACCGACTTCCACTGCAAAGCCTGAAAACCCCTGACGTTAGCTTGTGAGCCAGGGGCTCTCAGAGCACTGAAATCAATGGACAGTGACAAAATTCCACATCGTTCTGTAATTTCCATCTTCTGTAGCAAAGCCATGTCCAAAGTTGAAAAATTGCTATTGTGAATTTAATCTTTCGTTAGAAAGTGCACCGATTAATAGTGAAATTGCTGAAATCCTAGCATGTAGGCAGTACGGGAAAATGGAGACCAAAACCTCACGCAACTGACATCCTGGAAAGCAAATGGTGCCTTTGTGCTGTGGGAGTGTTTCCTAGCACAGCTGTGAGGTGTGTACTGGGCAGTAACGCACAGTTTTAGAAATCTAGCTACGAGACTGAGGCCCGGCTTCATGGCAAGCGTGCTGACAGATCTCACATTTGTATTCTGGAAGGCACCAGGACGGACAGCTTCACTCATGCACTATTACACAAACTAGACACTGAATAGTCAACATATTTAATAATCTGGATATTCAGATTGCTGGATCAAACTTTGTTGACTATAGACATGAATGTTGGTATTATGTAGCTGTTTCAGTATTGTAGTTTTACTCCTTGGTAACATGAAAACCTACAGAAACTTTGCATTCTGAGAGTGTCAGAGATGCTGGCTAGACGAGGCCTCTATTCTGCCTGTTCTGGAACATTCTCAGGCATGGAAGCGTACTCCCGCATCAGCAGAATACCCAGTTTTCTGGGATATTTGTGCTGTAGAACCCCGGCCCACTTTTCTTCCCCACTTTAAGTAGCTATTAGCTGCTATACAAACAACTCTCTCCATGAATTTATAGGAGAATCCAGGATGGGCGAATGCACAGATGCAGAAAGTGGATTCACAGTGGCTGGGGCTGGGGTGGACTCACAGTGGCTGGGGCTGGGGCAAGATGTGTGGGGGAAGGGAATGGAGAAGGCCTTCTAGTGACTCCAGGTGTCCTTGCTGGGATGGTGAGCATGTTCTAAGGTTAGATTATGATGGTTGCACAATTCTGTGAATTCACTGAAAACCGTTAATATGTACCGTGAAGATGGCTGAACTTTGCAGTTTGTAAATTATCTCACTGAGCTTGTTGAAACATAAAAGCAATTAAAAATTTTCATTTTACTGTTCTACCTTCAACATAACTTTTCAACAAAACAGAAAATACATCAGAAGATAAAGATGGTGTACTCAATCCTATTTTTAAGGAAACTGAGAGAACCAGAGATATATTTAATAATTCCAAACGGCTAGCAAATGAGCCGATTATGTGCCAGCGCATGCCAGTGAATAACGTACGAATGGCGCAGTCAAGGAATGAGATCTATTCATCTTCAGAAGAAGATTCTGTGCAGCAATACGATGGTGTCACAGCACTACTAGAAGCAATTCACCCCAAAGCTAGAAATCAAATAATTTTCAAAAATGTGATGATTAAGCACGGCCAGTAAAAACGGGCCCGTTACAATTTTAGAAGTGAACGTTTGAAGGAGCTCAGTGTCAGCTTTAGTGTCTCCCTTTGGCCCCCTTGGAATCTCCGCTGGGAAGGGCCCTCCTCCCACACGCGGCACCCAGCAGGAGCACAGCTGCGGGCAGTCATAGTACGGCTCCTATTTCCTCACCTTTAGCTGAAAGACAACCTTGGGCTTCCAGCCCTGGCAGCGTTCTGAGGACTGTGTAGAGGTAGAGGGAAAGCTGGGCCATCCTCACAGGAAACTGTTTCTTTTGTGATGAAGGAGGTGGGGTAGAAGGAAGAGGCCCAGCTGGAGAAGACAAAAATGAATGGTCATCACTCGAAGACCACCGCGTGAGGCCTTTTACTGGCATCTGACTTGATGCCTCCCCACCAATCTCTGCAAGGCAGGTTCCTTTTCTTCTCTTCTCTTTCTTTCCTTTTCTCCCTCTCTCTCTGTCACCCAGGCTGGAGTGCAGTGGTGCAATCTTGGCTCATTGCAACCTCTGCCTCCTGGGTTCAAGCGATTCTCCTGTCTCAGCCTCTTGAGGATTACAGGTGCCTGACACCACGCCTGGCTAATTTTTTTATTTTTAGTTGAGATGGGGTTTCACCATGTTGGTCAGGCTGGTCTGGAACTCCTTGGCCCCTCAAAGTGCTGGGATTACAGGCATGAGCCACTGTGCCTAGCCCATCTCTGGAAGTTCTATAATCTTCATTTTACAGATGGAAAAGCTGAGGCTCAAAGAGGGCAAATAAAAAACATTTAATACACATGGATTAAGCAATAGGGTTGGGATTTGGACCCAGGTTACGAATAATCTCTATGAGGGCAGGTTTTAATCTGTTTTGTTCACGGCCATACTCCTGCCTGACACTGATTTTTGGGGCATAAAAATTGTTCTATAAGTGTTTGCAGAATAAGTTTTATTTCGAAATAATAAAAAGCTTTGACGTGATGAGGATGGAACCTGCGTTGTGAGAACATGCTCATAGCTGGGTGTCTTTCACACCCTAACAAAGCAAAGGCTCACTTTACACTCTATTTCTTTTGAAATTCCTATCAGTGGAGAGTCCAAAGCTATCTGGGGTAGCTGAAATGGGACCTGACAACCTGCCTCAGGTTTGGGAGGAGCATTTTGCCTGTTTGCATATGTCATGCTCAGATTTATTTATTATTAGGAAAAGAGTAAGTGCCATTATACAGTCCTGTCATTATAGATCATCATTTTTGGTTACATGGGGATTTTATTTACTCATCACCAGATATGGTTAACTAATGATCATTTCATTTTTAAATAAATTATTTTGTTTTTGAGATGGAGTCTCGCTCTGTGGCCCAGGCTGCAGTGCAGCGGTGCAATCTCAGCTATCTGCAACCTCCACATCCAGATTCAAGTGATTCTTCTGCCTCAGCTTCCTGAGTAGCTGGGATCACAAGTCCCCACCACCAAGCCTGGCTAATTTTTTTACTTTTAGTAGAGATGGGGTCTTGCCATGTTGGCCAGGCTGGTCTTGAACTCTGGACCTCAAGTGATCTGCCTGCCTCAGCCTCCCGAAGTGCTGGGATCATAGGCGTGAGCCACTGCATTCAGGTGTAATGATCATTTTAACTCAAAACAAAGGGCACTTTTGTAACCGTGGAAACAAGTTCTATTTTAATTTTTTGCAAAGTGTAGTTTGTCATTGCTGATGTTCTTGGTGGAATGTCAACGGCAAGGACAAAAATGACAAGTTTTCATTGAGTAATGCTATTCCGAACTCTTGTTCGTCTCTTGACGTCACATGTCTAAAACTCAGTACTGTTCTACAGAAACATTCCCAGATTTGCTCGGTTTTGACTCACGGAGACACGTTTGGGAAAGCACCATCTTCTGCGGACCGAGACACTCACTGGAGAAACGCAGCTGCAAAAGCAGATGCCAAAACTGAGTATTTTAAGATAATTTTTGGAGAGAAACTAAAGCTCTGAAACACAAAATAGCTTGCTATTTACATGTTAAATGTCAGGTTACATGCTTCCCCCGCATACGAATTTCGCCGAAGTCTGTGGCTTGCCACAGTATCAGCCCTGTTTACCAGGGTCGTTCCTTCTTCATTGCCATAACTGAGCTCCGCACCTCGGGGTACTACTGACTAAAATGTTCTATTTATTTACTTATTATTTTTGAGATGGATTATTGCTCTGTCACCCAGGCTGGAGTGCAATGGCGTGATCTCGGCTCACTGCAACCTCCGCCTCCCGGATTCAAGTGGTTCTCCTGCCTCAGCTTCCTGAATAGCTGGAATTACAAGTGCATGCCACCACACCCAGCTAATTTTTGTATTTTGAGTAGAGATGGGGTTTCACCATGTTGGTCGGGCTGATCTCGAACTTTTGATCTCAAGTGATCTGACAGCTTCAGACTCGCAAAGTGCTGGGATTATAGGCGTGAGTCACTGCGCCTGGCCTCAATCTTAAGTGAAGTGAACAAGAATGATTCTGAGGATTTGAGAGCATCCCTGGAAAGAATTAGACAGACCCCTCTGCACCAAAAGAGCCACCACTGGATCCGCCAACCGAGAAACAGTGGCAGTAACATCCAAGCTGTGTAAATGCTCCTTCTCATCATTTTTACAAAAAAAAAAAAAAAAAAAAAAAAAAATGGCAATATTTTGCTCTACGATACCAGGGAAATTCTTAGGAGATTCCATCCTGTTAATCTTACTGAAATTATTAAAGCCCATTTTTCCTTAGGAACAGGCAAGCAGTGGCCTGCAGGACAACTACCATGAAGACGTCCACCAGCGCAACCCCGCTGGGCCCGCGGGAGACGAGCCTCTGCATGGTTCAGCACCTTGCGTCAGTGTGATTCCCCCCACCCTGCACCTGTACCACCTCTGCACAACAGTCCCTGAATCTTGAGTGCAAGTGTCTGGGTGACTGCCACCAATGCGGTTGCAGGTGGTACTGTGTGTGTGTGTGTGTGTGTGTGTGTGTGTGAATACGCAAGTGTGTGCAAATGCTGAGTGTATGACGGTGAGCGTATGCATGTGTGTGTGAAATCTCATTTCATTGTAGTTGAAAGTTTCTTGCTTTGAGAAAGATGGACAGCATTTTCACTAAAAAAGTTTCCCTAGAGTACAGAAAAGCATTTTAGAAGTAATTGTTATGTTAGTTAGTTAGTTAGTTTCTTTTGAGATGGAGTCTCACTCAGACTGAAGTGCCCAGGCAGGAGTGCAGTAGCACCATCTCAGCTCACTGCAGCCTCCGCCTCCTGGGTTCAAGCAATTCTCCTGCCTCTGCCTCCTGAGTAGCTGGGACTACAGGCGAGCACACCATGCCTGGCTAATGTTGTATTTTTAGTAGAGATGGGGTTTTACCATATCGTCAGGCTGGTCTTGAACTTCTGACCTCAGGTGATCCTCCTGCCTTGGCCTCCCAAAGTGCTGGGATTACAAGTGTGAGCCACTGTACCCAGCCCCATTACCTTTGTATTAAGGAGCGTGTCTTAATTATCTCAAGGGAAGCTCCCTGCCACTCTCTCCCCGACCTAGGACAAATTATTACAGTATCAAGTCCTAGTCATGGGGACCATTAATTATAATATTTGCATTGGTATTTTTGGTTATTAATGAAGATTCCAGGAAAAAATAAATGTAACATGAAGATGTAATTTTAATAAAAAGATTTAGGTGATGGCAACCTTTAGGTAAAATAACATGTAAGATTCCACTATCCAGGTGGGGGTCTTCCTGTCAGAGGAAGAGGAGGAGAAGGAGAGCTTCTAGGTAAGTTTTAATTAGAGCCTCTGGTGTCAATTTTATTAGGGTGGAAAATGACTTTATTGCAGCCTTGACATAAAAACGGCCCAGATACAAAATCAACCTCATGAAGCATTCCCATTTCACTGCCTAAACTGCCACGAGTCCCTCACATTCCACTTGTTGGCGGATGATGTGAACGTGTCTCAGCTGCTTTGTGCCCCTCTAATAAGAACATTACGTCAGCTTAAATGGTGACACCCATTGTTTATTTTAAAATCTACCCACCCCTGTCGGCCTGGCTCAGACAGTGAATTAACAGTTGAACAGTTAAGGAGGATTTGCCCAACAGAGCCTACCTGGGGCTGCTTCTGGGTCTCTGGACTGGGCTCCCCCAAAGGGGGTCGAGGTCAGGGTCTAAAGGCCTCTGCAGCAGCCACACCAAAACTGAGACCCAGCACAGAATCGGGGCTGAAGCTAGGACCCGACCTCCACTGAACTCTCTACTCACTAAGAAGAGTTGAGGGTTTGTCCACGTGTGGAAGGAAAGCATCACTAACAGCCTTCCTTTCCTGACACATCAATTTAACACCTTCTGGGGAGAAGAAGAAAAGCTGGGATTACTGTGGAAAGCAGTGGTGTGAGAGCGACGGCGTTCGGTCTGATGCCTGAAGACCAGACGCAGGACGTGAGTCAGGGTGTGCTCTGCTCATCCTGCATGTCACAGGGTGCTGAATTCTCCTTTTTTTTTTTTTTTTTTAATACCCTGTTTCTTCAACTTACACAATGTTGATGCTAAAATGTTCTTGGTGGAAGTGAGGCTCAGCTCCTGAAGGATTTGTCTGAGAAACTCAGAGACATGCCCTTCTGTCACTGGAACGAGTGGGGAAAAAAGGCATCTTAAAAAAAAGGTTAAGGTGAACCCTCGTGGCACCACTGGAAGAGGAGGAGGAGGCTGGAGAAGGCCCATGAGTGCAAGCTGCCCTGCCTGAGACTGTGCCCTCCGAGCCGGCGTCTTCCTCCGACATGCCCAAGTCCCCCGACCAGGAACGGGGGAAGGAGCAGGGGCGATCTGACAGCCACACGCCAGAGCCCCGAGTCCTAATCACGAATCCCGGCTGTGAGGTGGAAATCACAGGTGGCAACTTTTACTCATGGAAACCAAATAAAGGTGCTTTCACGTTGGAATCCAAGCCCCAACCGTGATCAGCAGCGTCCTGACTGGGGGGCAAGACAACGGGGTGTCTGCACGGAGCACCCATGAGCAGGAACCCCTTTGTCTGAGCTCCCCGGGCCCTGAGCTGGACCCACGGCCACCCCACTGGCCAGAGCCCATCACAGCTGCTATTTGTGCGATTGTCAGGTTTCTATTCCCTCTTTGTTCTGGGAGTCTGTCAGTCGTCCCATTGTGCCTCTGATGACCCTAAGTGACTCTCAGCAGTGCCTGTTTATTTTTGAAGGCCAGAATCGCTTAGGGGTAAGTGCACAGGAAACAAACTTGAAGCGAATGCGGCTGTGACTGATGAGTGTTTGCGCTCACCGTACAGCCCAGCAAGCTCTGAGGGCCTACTGAGCAGCGTCCCCAACCCACCCACTGGCCCACCAGGACGATCCCCTGCAGGAACAGGGCCCCCATCCTTGCCTTGGGATTGTGACTCCCGATGGGAAGTACCCTACCCACCCAGCAACACCGGGCCTAAGTCCCCGAGCCCCTACTCCTCTCCACTCAGCAGGAGCCCCCATCCGGGTGGCCCTCAGGAGCACTGTCCCAGTGGGCACTATGCCCTTCCCATCCTAACCTGCTCCCTCCTGCGGAGCCAGTGCAAAGGCTTTGGGGAACATGGGTGTGAGCCATGCTAGGTCTCAGCTGCTGGCCCGGGATCATTTGAAAGGGGGGAACTTTTGGTTTCCTGCTAAAAGGCCCCCCAAACAGCCAACCAATGCTGTGTCCCCTTGATAGGCCAGCGTGGCTACCCAGGAGCAGAGAGGGGGATAGCCCAGGCTCAAGTGTCTCCGGGGAGCGCAACACCAGATGGCTTATTGTTGGGAGTCTTGGCTGAGGGTGGCCGCACCTGCAGTGACTCGACTGCTTCCCACTTCCCTGCACCTGTCCTCACGGTGCCTGCTTCAGGGGAGGGGTGGGCAGGGGCCCCACTGCAGGTACAGCCGAGGGGCACTCAGAAGCTGGACATCTGCACGCTCGGCTTGGCCAGGACTGAGCTCTGTCCTCAGCCCCTGCAGCCAAGGCGCCAGCGTAAGCCAGCACGCTCCACAACAGGGGCTGGCTGTGGCTTCAGAGTCTCACCCTGATTTCAAAGAACAAAGGCAACTCTGGAGTTCCAGGGACATTGTGTCAGTTGGAGCAGCATTTCTATAGCGTGCACCCCACATGCTGCGCGCGTGCCTCACAAAGCGCTCACAGCCACTCTTACACACACACTCCAACGCACGAGCTGTGGGCACCTCCACGCATCACCTGCTATGCTGTAGCACTGGGCCAGCATTCCTTACAGGGAAGAGTTCAGGCCTCAGGCACACTGTCTGCTGGCACTTTATGTGGAACTCTGCCATGTGCAAACCAAGTCTTTGAGACAGGAGAGGAGAGGGCAGCAAGGACGAGGGGTGTCCCACCTGTCACTCAGTCACCCAGCAAATACTGGTGAAGCCCCTCCCCTGAGCCGAGCCTGCGTCTAGGTGCTGGGATATCTGAGTGAACAAACAGCCAGATGTCCCTGCCTTCACAGGGCTCACTTTCCATCCAGGATGGGGGCTCAGACAATAAGCAACGTAATTAGGGAGTGTGACAGAGGTGACCGTACCGCCCCGCTCTGCGTCCTTCATCCTCTCGGGCCTCTCCTCCAGGTGGTGCCATGTGACGCTCTGGCCAACAGAACTCAGTGGACATGATGACTGCCCCTCAGCCTGGCTTGCAGGGCGCTTAGCCCTTGGGCTCTCCTCCCAGTCCCTCCCTGTCCTGCCCTCCAATGGTGGAGGCTCTATGTGGATGCCACGGGGCTCTCCCAGGTGCACTGGAGGGAGAGCCGCCTGGCCCTCGCTGAGCTGAGACGTGAGTGGACATCACCTTGAGCTTCTGATTTAGGAGTTCCTCTGGCAGGCCCACACTTTACCTGCTGCGTAAAGTGAGCAACGTCAGAGCCCACCTGTGCTGACACAGCTGCACTTCTAAGTGGGAGATGTCACTGAGAAGGGACGCGGAGCGAAGAGCTCACCTCTGGATATCTGGGCAAGAGACTGAGGGAGGAGGGCAGAGCCTGTGCTCCAGTCACACCCAGGAAGCTGCAGGAGGGAGGGGCCGCAGGAGATGCCTTTGGAGCGGTCCCCGGGGAACAGGTGGGCTTTGGGCAGGGATAAGAGATGGGGACAGATCAGGATGGAGGGAGCGACCCACTTAGTAACCAAGGTGGGCAAAGAAGGGTCTGGCTCTTGGTGCTGGGAGAGGTCCTTGCTATGCACGGGAGCTTCCCTAGGTACTTGGCACAATCAGCGATCAGTGCTCTCAACAAAGACATAGAAACAGCACCTCATTTTGTACCTGGATAAGGGGAAAGCTCAAGCTCAGTTCCTGTTAGCGGCAGGGAGGCATCACCAGGCACAGAGCCTTCACTTCTCCCGCTCTGGTACTGTGTTCTCCAGATGATCATTTTATATTATTGGGAAAATCAGCTTTGGAGCAGAAAGCCCAGAGGAGAAGGTGAGGGACTTGCACATACACACACATTTAAATGAAACATTCTATGGAATTCAGTATCATATAGGCATGCAAACCATGAGAAGTAATAATGAGTTTGCTTTGGGAGGCCGGGAGTTGGGAGAAGAGAGCCTTCGGGGCAGCGCATCGTGGATGGAGACCTGGGATCGGCAGCGCCTGGCCCTGCGTGTGTGCATCGCATTCTGTGGCAGAGAAAAGAGCAGGCGGCCTCCGTGTGGGAGCAGCAGGGTCAGCAAAACTGAGAGGCAGGGAGGAGCTGAGCTGAGCCGAGCTGGTGCAGAGTGTCCTGCCCTGGGAGGCAGTGGCTCTATACTAATTGATGAAATACCCAGAGTAGGGGTGCATTACCGTAAACCTCTACAACCCTCATCCTTAAAGCCCAGCCCCTGACCCGGGAGATGCATGGGTGGCTGCTCCCGCCTGGCCCACTGTCACTCCTGCCATCCTCCCTGGCTGCCGGGAAAGATCAACTGTGCGGAAAATGGGCTCCCATCCTCTTGTTTCCTTCCTTCTCTGGCTCTCACTCTTGTTCTCGCAGTCTCTTCTCTACTAGTAATGTCTTTTCACATCTGCTGGTGGGCTGCTATCTTTCAGAGTATAACTTCCATTTTTCCTGCAGACAAGGTGGTTTTGCCGCTGTTCTGTTTTCAGGTAAACTACATCAGGAAGCCCTCACTGCAGACAGTGAGGTCAGGAAAAGAAAATTTCATTCACATGGAGGATTGCAGCCCCACTGGAAATGTCTTTCCCAGCACACCTGGTGACCTGTGACCTTGCCAACCCAGATATTCCCAGAAACTCAGCGGTTCTAGAAGGCTGGCTGGAATAATTAGGGTTTTAGAGCAGCTGCTGGAATTTTAGAAAGGCTAAGCGTGCTGTGCTCCACTCACGGCGTGAACGAGGGCGGGCAGCACCTGCGTGCATCTGTGCCAGCGCATGGCAGCGAGGCCGCTGGGAGTGGATTCCCTGTTATCAGGGACCCTGTGTGCCCAGGGCGGGGTCTGCAGAGGCTTTGGGGAAGACACCATGGCTGCTTCGTGTACCTGGCCTGGTGTCCACGTGGCTCACAGGCCCTGCGCTATAAAAATACCATGAGGTCACTGACTACCATGTGACTCTTCACCTGTGATAAGAACTTAAGCAGGAAAAATTCTTAGCATTTGTTAAACAAAGCTCTGTATCCTTCAAAAAATGTCTGCAGTCTTCTCTCTGAAAATACTAGCCAAAGAGCACGGACAGGAGGGGGGAGAGCCCCATGTGTGCACATGCAGTAACCTGTTTATTACTCACATGCCCTTCTATGATTACCTACTTACGTAAGGGAAACCAAGTCACTGCCAAAAGCACACGGCGGAAAGGCGGCGGGGCTCTGCCACCTGCTGTGTAAAGTGAGCAACGTCAGGCTGGCTGGGGTCCCCTTCCTCCGGGGCCGCTGGGCAGCTCAGAGCTAGACGTGTGGCTCCCTGCAGTCACCGCTCCACGGCTGATGTGTCTGTGGTCTCACTTCACCTCATCTAGATGTCTCTACTTTATTTATATTTTACTGTTTCCTGGTGTGTTGTCAACTAACTCAAGCTTTATAAAGCAAAGAAGAGCAAAACCACACACACACACACACACACACACACACACGAATATATGTGCTTAAATGTTTCTGGGATAGACATTTTAAAAATAAACATTAAACACAGATAATTCTATCTCCATTGAGCAATGTAGTGAACACTTTCCTCATGACTCCTCACCAGGTTTTGCCCTTACGTGCTGTACACACAGGCCTTGGCCCCATGAAGTGGACAGAGTGAACACAGACGCAGGATGGTGGTATTTTCACAGGAGGACATCCTTCCTCTGCGGCACGTGTGGAGGGAGCCAGCTCACGTGTGACACGGAGTGCACGTGCTTCCAGCCCCGCCTGAGATGCCTGTCGCAGCTCAGAAGAACCACACTCAGTTCTGGGGTAGCAGCGCCCTCTTTTGGTCACTCCTCTCCTTCCTTAGTATAATTTAGGGAGACCTAAAACTTCCCTCACTTCAGCTGAATTGCCTGCCTTTAGTTCAGCCCCAGTATCAGTCAGCTCCAGCAGGAGGAGAGGTGGAGACTGACTTCTGCCCTCCTTCCTGCCTGGTTTCTAAGGAGGAGGACAGCGTGTACACTGCCTGTGTGGGTGGGCCAGAAAACGCTCAGCAGCAATTGGTCTACCGCGAAATGACCTGCTGCTTCCCCAGAGCGCTGGCAACACCCAGTTCTCTAGGCTGTCGTGCCTGAAACTGTTTTCTTCCTGCTTTTGTAACTAGGCAAAACTAGGCATAACCACAAAGCTGTCAAAAAGAAAAAGAAAAAAATCACCGACGGTATCTGAACCTGCGCTCTAACGAGTTGTTTGCTTAGATTGAAAACAACCCTTTGGTGGGCTTTTTACCAGGCGAGGAAGGGTAGCTAAAACCTCAAAGTGCATTGCCCTGAAAATGATCGGCTCGGGCGTCACGAAGACGGGCAGGAAGGCTGCCTGCTTCTAGGCACTCAGTGTGTGAACCACAGTGATGTCATCTGTGCCAGAGTCAGTGCCTGGAACAAACTTCTCAACACGCCACTCCAGTCTTCACTCCGGGGGACCCTCTTATCAGACACTGCTGCCTTCTGACATTCACAGAGATCTCAGGCATGGGTGTCCTGCAGAGGTAGTCAGCTAAGGATTATGGCTTTCTGCACATGAATCACATTCCTCGCTCATTCTTTTTATGCATGGATGAAACAGTTTCCAAGAACCGAGCATGGATGACTAGTACTCACGGGATATCAAGAGTGATTTCCTAACATACTTATGGGACTTACTACCCTGTCAAGGAAATACCTTTTTGCAAAGTGGGAGGGAGCCGCTGCTCTCATTTAGAGTAACTTTGTACATTACGTTATAATTTAAAAAGAAATTGCATATATGTCTTCAAGGCTTACAGTCAGGATTAACAGCCTAGGTTATTTGGTTTCCTTGCCTTCAGCACTCTGCACATTTAGAGTAGAGTTCTCTGTGCTCCAGGAAAGGATAGAGGCTGGGAAATTATTAAGGTCAAAAGCAAACTCCCCACAGCTCAACAGGCCCTTCCAGGTCGGCATCAGTAGAGATTGTTGCTCACAAGCTGAGGAGTGCAGAGGCCTCCTGGGCCAGCCTCCCCCACGGTTAGAGGAAATGAGGACACCTCAGACCGCGAGCTCCTCCCACTTCCCCCTTGGTTCTGACTCAGCCTGAATCAGGCATCAGCTGCAAAGGCCTGAAGGTGACTAGGGATCTGCTTCCTCGTCACACTCACGGGTGGAGAGGCTTGGAATGTGAGCGCTGAGCTCATTCAGCAGATAGGTGTGCCTTGCTCTGGCATCCAAGGACCTGGGACCATCTCAGTCAACACGACAGGCGGAAGGATTGCTCTTCCTATCAAAAGACAAGCCAAGTTTGTGAAACGATGGACATCGTCTGCATTTCCATCACTTCCAGTAGTGTTCACATCGAACCCTAAATAGTAACTCTCTAAACCAAATACCTCTCTGAAAAGGTTAAGGGGGGCTGCGTGTGGAAGGGCTTCAGGAATTACGTCATCTTCACAGTGTATGGAAAGGGCTGAGTATAGAAGAACTTTTTATATTCTATTGTATCCGTGCTGCATATACACCTACACATACGTGTGTGTGTGTGTGTGTGTGTGTGCACTGGATGGTAACGGAACTGCTGCCACTGTGACTAATACTTTTCAAGGTAATTAGCAAGGGGGATAATGACAAAGATGATGCTTGGTTTAAAAAATCAGTAGGCTTAGCCAAAATAATTTTAGAACTCAATTTTCTTTATGTGTAAAACCTAAAATTGGACATTTGTCTTCATGCTTTTCTATTATGTCTTTATATATGTAGCTGAAATATATGAGTAAAGAGATCATCTAAAGGAATTTTTATTCTAGACTTTTAGAGGCAGATTTATTCTTAAAATCATCAAGGCTGGGACGTCGCCTTCAAACTCACAGCTTATCTATTCTAGGAAACCCTCAGTGTTCTGCAGAGTGCACGCTGCTGCTCCTAGTCACAGACGCGGCTGCCTTCAACTCCTGCTGCTTCTTCCTCTGCCACTAAGGACAGCAACCCTACTTCCTGAAGGCAGTGAACATCCCCACAGAGATCATCACACAGTACGCAGAAATAGGCGGAGCACCGAGTCCCTTCGCACTTGCCTGTCTCATTTCTAGGCAAGGAGTCCTCGTTGCTTTCAGTCTCTGGGCCTCTGGGTTATGCTGATTTTCATGGACACTTAAGATACTGAAGCAGTGGGCATCACCACATCTATTTTATGTATGCTCTGTCAAGAAGGATGGAATTATAGAAAAGAAAGGACTTTTGAAAAAGAGCAAGTTAATCAGGAACAACAAAAGTTGGCATAATTACCTTGCCTAACAAGTGAAGTATAAAGAAAGGCCTTTCCATAAATAAGCCAAGACCAGGCTAGGGAAAGTGGCCAGGAATCCTGTTTGCCTTGAGTGTCGTCTGTAACCTGCAGGCTGGGCTGATCTTGGGGAAAGGGATGCCTATTTTACTAGGCAGAAAATCACTCCTTTTTCCTTTGACCTACAGTGAGTTCTCAGGAGCTGAGCAGATTTCACACCACCCTTTTTCTCTTGGCTTTAGGAGAAAATCCAAGAGCTGTGCACAGCAGAACAGACTGCAGGGCCCTGTGCTGTTCGGAAGTCACTGAGCCTCAGGGTCAGGATGGGAATGGCATAAATGTCAACACCAAATGCAGACACATCGCTCACTCACAGGGGAAGCAGAAATGAAGACGAATACTGAGATTGCGTCTTAGCTCATTTTCTGTTGTGATAATGGAATATCTGAGGCTGGCTAATTTATAAAGAAAATAGATGTATTCCCCACAGTTCTTGAGGTTGAGAAGTCCCAGGGCATGGCACTGGCATCTGCTCAGCTTCTGGCGAGTGTGTCCTGACATGGGGGTGGCACTGTATGGTGCCACAGAGTGAGAGCTCAGGCCTCTCCTCTCTCCTTAAAGCCATGGTCTCAGCAGGGGCCCCACCCCAAGGCCCTGATGACTCGATCTCTGCTCCTTGTTACATCCCAAAGGCCCACATCCAATTAACAAAGAAATTTAAGGATTAAGTTTCCAACTCACGAAACTGGGGACACATTCAAACCATAAAAAGGCAATTTATATTCAATACGGCAATACGAAAAAAGTAAAATTTTGTAGACAAGAGTTATTTCCCAATGCCTTCCGTGCCACTCTTTGTGGCTGAGAGAAACACCACAGCATCCAGGCTTCACTGTAATCTCACTTCCTCGTTAGTTGTTTTTTATGAGCTCTGCTAGGCTTCCCGGTGCTCACATGGGGCTGGACGAATAGATGATCAGAGAAACACAATATAGTGAGGCAGAGCTGGGAGGTGCAGAGGGTCTGTGTGTGCAACAAGGCACGTAAGCAAAAACAAAACCGAGATGGGAAGGGACCGCAGGAGGGGAGGCGGGGCTGTATCTGTCATATATCTACACAGCCAACATTTTCTTTATTTAGACAGGCTCTTACTCTGTCACCCAGGCTGGAATTCAGTGGTGCAGTCACAGCTCACTGCAGCCTTGACCTCCTGAGCCCAAGTATCTGGGACCACAGATGCATGCCACCACACCTGGCTAATTTATTTATTTTTTGCAGAGACAAGATCTCATGTGTTGCTTAGGCTGGCCTTGAGCTCCTGGGCTCGAGCAATCCTCTTACATAGACCCCAAGAAGTGTGGGATTATATGTGTGAGCCAATGAACAGAGCCTCTATGTTTTTAGTTACAAGAACAGATCTGTGATTACCCACGCAATTAAAAAAACAAAGGCTTCCCCAAGCGGGAGTGCAGGTGTACGCTGTCACCATGTGGCGCCAGGTTTCCCATGTCTGTGTCACCTACCAAACACTTCGTTGTCCTCTGAGTTCGTCTGCGAAAGTTCACCCAGCTTTCTCTTTTTTTCAGATTCTCCTCTGTTAGTCTCACCATTCTGGAAAAAGAAAACACAACACCCCCCTTTCTTAAGATTAATTGTTTTCTCAACAACATAACTGTAATGAATTTGTCTCTATAAATTTTTTATCAGATAATCAATTTCACATCTGTTTTCAAGATAGAACACAGAGCTTTGGTTCAGAGGTGGGTTTTCTGCACAGGATTCTGAATTCTAGCTTGTTTTCTCTGCCTAAACACCTAAGTACTTTCTTGACCCAGTTGATACAGTTTTATACAAAAAAATTGGAGCGTCAGCCTAGATATAAAATAAAAAATAGCTACACTCCCATCCTACTGATTCCAGGGCTGAGCCCACAGTCACTGCTTTAGATTCTAAGTGACACTGTGACACCTTTGCTAACTGGAACCAGTCAGGACCACTTTGATGGGAGAATGAGCCCTTTGGTGTCGGGAGGCCCCTTTGTATTCCGGGGAAGGGAAGCAGCCGCTGTGGAACGGCCCCCACTCTCTTGGGAATCTGCGGCCTCGGAGTTTCTTCCCTGTCTTCTGGGCCTCCTTTGCCTGTTGCTGGAGCCCGAATGGCAGTGTGAACTTGTTTTTTGAGTTTAAAATGTTCAGGACACAGTTCGATCACCAGTGCAGAGACAAGACATGGTTCAGATTCTTTATATTTTTGTGATCAATTTTACTTGACTATTTTAAAATGTCACGCTTGCACATCACACGATTCAAATGCTCTGGCAAGTGCACAGTGGCCATATGCTGAGACCCCAGGGTCTCCTGGATGCCGCTTTCTCTTTGGGAGGCAGCCGGCGTTTCCAGCTTCTTCCAGACTGGGCACAATCGTCTGTGCACCTTCAGACAATTACACGTGCGCCTTCTTTTCCCTGGCTTCATCGTCACACTGTGGATGATGCCCTCCTTCTTGCTTCTGCCTGGGAACGAGGGGTCCTGGAGGCGGCTTCAGTCGGCAGCGCAGAGCTGCCCGCGCAGCCCGTGAGCGCTTGTTACTGCTCACACCTCTCCAGGCTCCACCACCATCCAGCGTGTTCACATTTGTATCTTTTGATCGTAACCACGTCGCCCTAATTCCTGCTCACAGCTCAGAATGCACATGGGCAAGGAGCATTTTCACACTGGGCTTTCACTGGGTGGGTGTCAGTCACACTGGGCTTTCACTGGGCGGGTGTCAGTCACACTGGGCTTTCACTGGGCGGGTGTCAGTCACACTGGGCTTTCACTGGGCGGGTGTCAGTCACACTGGCTTTCACTGGGCGGGTGTCAGTCACACTGGGCTTTCACTGGGCGGGTGTCAGTCACACTGGGCTTTCACTGGGCGGGTGTCAGTCACACTGGGCTTTCACTGGGCGGGTGTCAGTCACACTGGGCTTTCACTGGGCGGGTGTCAGTCACACTGGGCTTCCACTGGGCGGGTGTCAGTCACACTGGGCTTTCACTGGGCGGCTGCGGGCAGCCGCGCTGGTCCTGGTGCCACCCACCAGCGGCACAGGGGCTGCTTCTCTTGGGGTCTGCTCCCCTGTGGGGGCAGCGCCCCACCCTGGTCTCTGCACTTGACTTTGTACCAGTTTTCCATACCAATCTCTCATTTCTGAGGAGCCTTTAACCCAGGATCATAAGATGTGCATAGTTTCAATTTTACACAGTCTCCAGCCCTTCTGGGCAGAGGGGCAGGCACAGCCATTAAGTGACACTAGGTCTGAAGTCTGATTCAGATGGAGTGTGACACAGTAATGTACTACAGCGTGTTTGTTCCCGGAGAGAAGCCCAGTCCTCTGAGCTCACATCAGTCAGGGTCCCGCGGTCCTGCTCCTAGTCACTGAGAGCCCTGTCGTGTGTGTGTGTGTGTGTGTGTGTGTGTGTGTGTGCGCGCGCGTGCGTGTGTGCATCCGGGTCTTCATTCCCACCCCTGGGCAGACGGGAGGGGATGGGTGGGTGAGGTCCCACCAACCAACGTGTATGGCATTATCTCCACAAGTCAATGCCGTCTAGTGTGATGAACATACTATAAACACAGGGGTTACTGAAGTCACAACACTGAGGCGGGAGGAAGCTGCCTTCATGGAGTGAAATAAAATTGCACTGGTCTGGGCTGAGTCCCTGCACTGGGCCCAGCGGACACCCCCAATATGAAGGACAGCACCAAGCCCAAACGAAGATCTTTATCTGAGCTTCTGAGAAACCAGGAGAGACAGCAGCCCGATTTCCAAGCAGCCCAGGTTTAGCCCGGATGAGGAGGAAGTCCCGTCTGCTCTAACCTTTGCCGGGGAGTCACTTTGGAACCACCCACCCATCCACCGCATTTTGTGGTGTGTCTGCTTTCCTCAGTCTCTGTTTAGAAACCAGCCTCCTCTGCTCCGCTCATCGGAACACTCATGCTGGTTTGTAGAAAGAGGTGTTGCCGGATCTCGAATGACGAGTAACAGCCAATGGAGGCTTTTATATTTGTTGTAACTCTGTGTCCACCTGCCAGGCTTCCGCTGCGGGATGGCTGGTGTAGAAACCGGGGTGCTGCTTTCCAGACCTCGAGTCACAGAGTTCCAGGACACTGTTATTACTAAGCAATGAAACGCAGAGAATGTTTCAACTCGCTGAGAATGGAGGAAATACAGCGCAAAACAGACATGAGATTTCAACACAGCAAAGTGGGAAAAACTGATTCCCAGCATTGCTAGAGATGGAGAGGGACCGGAAGTTTTCTGGGACTGGAATAAATGCTCTCGGCCTCTTGGAGCCTCACCTTGGGGCCTGTGACCTCACCGCCATGGCTTCCAGGCTCCCAGCCGCCTGTGACCTTCTGTGGATGTTCACGTGTCTCTATTACAGAAACTCACGGAACAGCCCATTTGTTTGTCCACCTCCCTGCGATGCTGGGAACTGCTTGAGAACAAGAACCACGCCTTGCACACCTTCCTGCCCCTCACACCTAGCACAGTCCTGGCACCCAGCGAGTGCTTCTGGAACACAGGTAAAATGGATCGTTTCTGTTTCAGCGGAAGAGAGCTGACTATGGACACTTTTCATATCCATCCAGTTAATTTTAGAAGACAGTAAAACTTGGAGAAGAAATAATTTCCTGGTGGTCTTTCCTCAGCTATGGATTCATGTCATAGGTTTTTTACATCTAGCTTCTATGCTAATATAAAATTATATTCTTCACTAATTACAAAACACTAAGTGTTGTTTAAGAACTAATTAAATACGATTCAGCTCCCGTTGTTATTGATCGTAGCTGCATTTTCTTCAAGCTAATGATTCTCCAAGAGGGACAGGGCTAGGACCTGTGGCATCTTCCAGTCGGCGTGGGCAGCCCTTCCCGCGGGAGGGTAGAACGATGCTGCGTCTTAGAAATGAGGCATTTCGGATGCAGAGGGAAAGCCGATATTTAAAGCACGTCACTTTGCTTTAAGTGCGTGGAGGGGATAACATAGTGGCAGCGACCTCCCTGCGTCCACTTCCCAGGCTGGTTTTGAGGGCGGGGACAGCATAAGTGTCAGGAGGAATTTTGTGTCCTGTGTGCCAGCTTGTGCCCGCGTCGGTCCCATGGTGATGGTGCATCCACTCTGTTTATCCGTCACATCAAAGTGGCCACAGGTGTACCCTGAATAGTGACAGCACACGGGACTCCAAATCCTCCCTTTTCTCTCCTTCTCAACTCAACTCTCTGACGGTTAAACATCTCTAGGTCATACAGCAGCGCAGGATGTGTGCAGAAAGTACACACTGGCCTGGGAAATTTTGTGACTAATTTCTACTCCAATATAAGGCTTGTTTTTGAGAACTGATATTGCTATTTGAAAAATATAAAATATTCCCTTATGATGAACACATTTCCTGTAAGCCAAATGTCTACTAGGAAAACAAATACTGGAGATGATGTGATTTTCGTGATGAGAATACAAGAGCTTCCTGCAGATGGGGTGTGGATTTTCGAGAGGTGGGTCCTGGCGGTTCAGGCCGTCTGTGCCTCATTGCCCAAGTGAGTCCAAATCTCGGTCCAAATGGATTCTGAGACTGCAGGTGCCAACAGGCACTTCAAGCCATGATAGCTCCTTCATACGTCTGTAGCAATCTTCTTTTCCATCAGCCTACCTCTGTGGGAGCTGACCTGAGTAAGAACCTGTTTCCCATCCGTGACCATTTTGGAAGCTGTGTGGGAATTTGCTGCGGAAGCCCCGGGAAGCAGGCACATTCCCCTACACTGCGAGGAGCACCAACAGACAGCTTGGGATGTCACCACGCATGGTGAAGATGACACAGAAAAAAGTCTATCTTTTGGAACAAAGGAAATGATAGTCTCCTAATCAATTACAAACCAGTAATCAGTCTCATTTTCTCTGGGAGTAAAAACACAGAAACAAAAAACGATTATAAACCAGTAATCAGTCTCATTTTCTCTGGGAGTAAAAACACAGTAACAAAAAACGTCTACCCGGCCTTGACCTCTAACCCCTTAAGTGGCAAGCTTTCCCCGGGGGTCAGCATGGCCCTGCACAGGGACCTGGGGCAGGCCAGGGAAGGGGCCCCGGGAACTCACAGGTTAATGCTATACTATAATAATACCTTGAATATGTCCCTCTTAAAGCACGACCCCATGTCTCATATGCTAAATCAATTATATCTTAATTTTAAGTTATAACCCTCTCAACCAAACCTCTGCCAGCTCAACTTTTAAGGCCCCGAATCCCCAGAATTCCACACTCTCCAGCCACCCAGAAGCACAATTCAGTTGTCTTCATCAGAACCGAGCGGAGAAGGAAAGGACAGCCAGGTGTCAAACCCCCCAAATCCAGTCACAGCCAGGACGCCGGCGGGTGGAATCCGGGTTGGTTTTGAGGGCCCCTCTCGGCTGCTCGTTCCTGCATAGCCAGAATGTCCGGTCACGTCTGCGACAGCTCGTACCTGGAACGGCTATTCACATACGTACACACGCACGCACACGCTGTAGTGAAAATACTCTTTAATCAGCCTTACATTTTTAAAAGACTGATGGTCTGCAGGTGGCAATTTCAGGAAGAATGGTCCAGAGGCTAAGTTTCTACTCAGTCACCACAGAAAAGGCTGTGGGAGAGGAAAACCCCTGCTTCATATTGCTACAAACATCACACAGTGCATCCCCACGTCCCGGTTCACACCAGAAACTACTTATCAGGAGAGGAAAGGGTGGAACCACGTTACAAAGTGACTTTCACCTGAGAAACCGGTTGTATGTTATACTCAGAGTCAGGGTCTGCCACAGGCTGCTTTCATTCAAAACACGTAAGAATTGATTTTGAGAATTTTGCAATCCCTTAAAAAATCCTGCCTTTCGCGAGATGTCCTAAGCGTGCCCAAACCATCTTATTTCTTGTGCTGTTCTGTTCTGTTTCACGCTTTCAACAGCCCAAAGCCACAGTTTTTAGTTTCTGTTCCTAGTGATAACCAGAAAAGAGGATGAGGAAGGAGCTTTACTGGCCCAACCAGAGAGAGAAACTCAGAAGCCATGACTGTATTTTCCCCTTGGACACTCTGAGTCTTGAGTGGAGAATCACTGGCACGGAAGGAGATAAAACTCTTGTCTGGCTCTGCGTCCTCAGTACCTTGCCATTCCCATGTGTGCTTGCAACAAACACTGCCCAGGATCTGAGTATACACAGGGAAATAAGGTAGGAGTTTAATAAGCCAAATCAGGCGCTTCCAAAATAAAGCTAGAAAAAGCCCAGAACGTCAGATGGCGACTGCCCCGTTAAATACGGGGGCCCAGCCCTGTCCGTCACCCTGGAGAGGGTCAGTGATGCAGGAAGTTAACCACGTTTACTTTTTCTGAGATGTCCTACAAGAAAAATTACCAGTGATTCATATGTTAAAAATTCCTAGGATGTTTAACAGAAGTTGCCGCTGTCTTCCCCCTTCCTTTAAGCAATATGTTCTTTCTGAATCTTACACTCGACTGATCTTATTTAAAAAGGAAAAAGAAAGAAACTCAGCCGAAACTTCCTATGATGTCACAGGCAACCCAGTCACATGCGGCATCCGCGTGCCAGCTGCTTGGCCTTTAGAGGCTGAGGTCCTGCCCGCGGGCATACCCCCGCCCCCCCGCCCCGTCTCCCCTGGCCTCCTGCCTCAGAATTCTCATCTCATTCTATGCACAAATCTCAGCATGGCCTGTGTTTCTCACAGCACCACGCGTATTTTGAGCCTTAGGTCCTTTCGGAGGGGATGCTTCTAAAAGGCAGATATTTCTTTAAGACCTTCTGCCAGATTCCCTGCTCCAGTCAGATCTGGTCCACCCAGATGTTTGCAGAACAGAGTTTGGGGGCATCGGGATGTGCAACACGGGTGTGTCGTAGCAAAATCGTGATCTGCATGACAGCCAGGACTTCAGGCTCTCAGAAGCTGGTCGCCGGGGTCACTGGGAAAATAATTAAATTTTCTGTACCTCTGTTTGCTCAGCGCTAAAATGAACGTTATAATCACACTTTGTGGTTGCTGGGAAGAGCATTCAATACGTGGAAACTGCTTTTTGCAGCAGCACACAAGGCCATTGAACACGCGGATCCGTAGCAGCTTAGCTTTGTGCTGTCACCAGAATGAGCCCTTAGTTTTTTCTCAGAACCATCACAGCCCCCTCTCAGGGGCTCTGGCCCAGCACCCCTGGTGTGGCAGCAGAAACAGGTGACTGTGCACCAGCGGGATACAGAGCCGTCCCCAGCACAGTCACTCAGAGATCTTAAGCGACTCAGGCTCCCTCCCACTAATTGCCCCAGGAGGACAATGGTCCCCATCTGGCGGCATCATCGTGAGGACTGCAAACGTGCACGTTCCTCTGGAGGAAATCTCACTGCTTTGAGGATGCCTGGCCTGCTCAGCCACCGTCAGCAGCGGTCAGCCCTCCCTGCCTGCAGCAAATGCTCTTCCTGCATCTTCACCCACTGCCATTGCCCCACCTAGATTTCCCTCCAGTTAATCCACATCAGAGATTTCTAGGATTTCTAACAAAACTTTAGTTGACAATGAATACTCCCAAATGCTTTTTCAGAAGCCAGAATCTGTTCGCCAAATTTCATTTCCAGTCCCAGAAAGTCAAAGATATCAGGTAGAGGTAAACTGGCTTATTTTTCAACTTACATATTTTTGCTCTCTCTAAATTTATTTTTTTTTTTTGAGACGAAGTTTCGCTTTTGTTACCCCGGCTGGAGCGCAATGGCGCCATCTCGGCTCACTGCAACCTCCCCCTCCTGGGTTCAGGCAATTCTCCTGCCTCAGCCTCCTGAGTAGCTGGGATTACAGGCACGCACCACCATGCCCAGCTAATTTTTGTATTTTTAGTAGAGACGGGGTTTCACCATGTTGACCAGGATGGTCTCGATCTCTTGACCTCGTGATCCACCCGCCTCGTCCTCCCAAAGTGCTGGGATTACAGGCGTGAGCCACGGCACCCAGCCCTTCTCTTTAAATTTTTATAAGTATTTCATATGTATATGTAATATATATACAAGACTAGATTATAAAAGAAATTTCAGCATTATCTAGCTTTATAAAGAGGGTCAATGCTAGGTTTATACTAAGAACAGTGGCACATCTGAGATTTTATCTACTTGAAAGCTAAATTATGTGGATGCTCCCGAAGGAATGAGATTGCTGGGTTAGAGACAAAGGGCAGGTTGTTATTCACAGCAGTACGGACGTTCACCATTTTGGCATGGGTTCCCTAACACCCAATTCACATAGGAGCCACGGGAAGGGGCCCAGGTGGCTGCTTGCATGCAGTGCGTTGAGTGGCAGGAGAGGAAGCTCTACATAGGAAACCTGAATCCTTTCTAACTATGCCTGCTCTAGAGGAAGACACTGTATCTCCCAAGACCTGTATTTTGCTCCAAATACACACACTCTCTGTCTTCCCAACCTGTTCATTATATAAACATCCTGGAAAACACAGTCCATAATAAGGGTGGATCCCGTCTGGCTTGCAGGACATGCAGACCCCTGGCAGATGATCTCCCAACAACTAGTTATAGAAGAGGTGACCTACTGAAAACTGTCAACTCTTCGGCTGGCTTGATGGGTGGACCTCCTGCCTTCCACGCAGTTCACAGTTAAACCCAACTTCACACATTTGATTCTCAAGCTAAAAGATCACCATGATATCTGTTACTTTAGATGTCCTTATATGAAACAAAATGTTACAGACTTTCACAATTACAAAGACTTCCGAGACCAGCCCAACCACTCATCTTACCACTAAGTGATGCTGACCTGTACACACGCGCAGGGTCTTTAGCTCACAGATGAGACTAAACCCCTGGACAGATCACAGAAAGCGTTGCTTCTGATGTGGAGAGAGGTCTGAGGACTTTGCAGCCCCCCAGTCTGGGGGGTCCTTGGAGATATATGGTGCCCGCGTGGGGCCACTGATTTTTCTCTTTCTTCCACTTTTGGGCTTGGCAGCTTCTGGAGAAGGCCATGAGGCTTGTGCTGACAGTGGACTCAGAAGCCGTGGTCTCAAGGGAAATGGACAGGTTTCTAAGCTGGCTTCTCCACGGGAGTCAGAGACTACAGGGCCGAAGTCCTACATATCACAGTTTTGTAGAATTCTTTCTCTTCGGTCAACAAGACTATAGGCCTGTGGTATGGAGAGGCCATAAGGCTCTGGCCACAAGCTACAGGGAGAGCTGGGCCTCAGTGTCTGGCCCCCATCCAGGCCTGGGAGGAGGAGATGCCCAGGGAACATGGTGAGAAGGGTGGGGTCAAAGGAAAGAAGCGGAGGCCACTACGGGAAGGAAGGGACCCAGGCACAGCCGCGGGTGGGGGTGGGGGCCACTACAGGAAGGAAAGGAACCCAGGCACAGCCGCGGGTGGGGGTGGGGGCCACTACAGGAAGGAAGGGGACCCAGGCACAGCCGCGGGTGGGGGTGGGGGCCACTACAGGAAGGAAGGGGACCCAGGCACAGCCGCGGGTGGGGGTGGGGGCCACTACAGGAAGGAAAGGAACCCAGGCACAGCCGCGGGTGGGGGTGGGGGCCACTACAGGAAGGAAAGGGACCCAGGCATAGCCGCGGGTGGGGGTGGGGGCCACTACAGGAAGGGGAACCCAGGCACAGCCGCGGGTGGGGGTGGGGGCCACTACAGGAAGGGGAACCCAGGCACAGCCGCGGGTGGGGGTGGGGGCCACTACAGGAAGGAAAGGGACCCAGGCACAGCCGCGGGTGGGGGTGGGGGCCACTACAGGAAGGGGAACCCAGGCACAGCCGCGGGTGGGGGTGGGGGCCACTACAGGAAGGAAAGGGACCCAGGCACAGCCGCGGGTGGGGGTGGGGGCCACTACAGGAAGGAAAGGAACCCAGGCACAGCCGCGGGTGGGGGTGGGGGCCACTACAGGAAGGGGAACCCAGGCACAGCCGCGGGTGGGGGTGGGGGCCACTACAGGAAGGGGAACCCAGGCACAGCCGCGGGTGGGGGTGGGGGCCACTACAGGAAGGAAAGGGACCCAGGCACAGCCGCGGGTGGGGGTGGGGGCCACTACAGGAAGGAAAGGAACCCAGGCACAGCCGCGGGTGGGGGTGGGGGCCACTACAGGAAGGGGAACCCAGGCACAGCCGCGGGTGGGGGTGGGGGCCACTACAGGAAGGAAAGGGACCCAGGCACAGCCGCGGGTGGGGGTGGGGGCCTCTCTGAGAAGGAAAGGGACCCACGCACAGCCGCGGGTGGGGGTGGGGGCCACTACAGGAAGGAAAGGAACCCAGGCACAGCCGCGGGTGGGGGTGGGGGCCACTACGGGAAGGAAGGGGAACCCAGGCACAGCCGCGGGTGGGGGTGGGGGCCACTACAGGAAGGAAAGGGACCCAGGCACAGCCGCGGGTGGGGGTGGGGGCCTCTCTGAGAAGGAAAGGAACCCAGGCACAGCCGCGGGTGGGGGTGGGGGCCACTACAGGAAGGAAAGGGACCCACGCACAGCCGCGGGTGGGGGTGGGGGCCACTACGGGAAGGAAGGGGAACCCAGGCACAGCCGCGGGTGGGGGTGGGGGCCACTACAGGAAGGAAAGGAACCCAGGCACAGCCGCGGGTGGGGGTGGGGGCCACTACAGGAAGGAAAGGAACCCACGCACAGCCGCGGGTGGGGGTGGGGGCCACTACAGGAAGGAAAGGAACCCAGGCACAGCCGCGGGTGGGGGTGGGGGTGGGGGCCACTACAGGAAGGAAAGGGAACCCAGGCACAGCCGCGGGTGGGGGTGGGGGTGGGGGCCACTACAGGAAGGAAAGGGACCCAGGCACAGCCGCGGGTGGGGGTGGGGGCCACTACAGGAAGGAAAGGGACCCAGGCACAGCCGCGGGTGGGGGTGGGGGCCACTACAGGAAGGAAGGGGAACCAGGCACAGCCGCGGGTGGGGGTGGGGGCCTCTACAGGAAGGAAAGGGACCCAGGCACAGCCGCGGGTGGGGGTGGGGGCCTCTACAGGAAGGAAAGGGAACCCAGGCACAGCCGCGGGTGGGGGTGGGGGCCACTACAGGAAGGAAAGGGACCCAGGCACAGCCGCGGGTGGGGGTGGGGGCCACTACAGGAAGGAAGGGGACCCAGGCACAGCCGCGGGTGGGGGCCACTACAGGAAGGAAAGGGAACCCAGGCACAGCCGCGGGTGGGGGTGGGGGCCACTACAGGAAGGGGACCCAGGCACAGCCGCGGGTGGGGGTGGGGGCCACTACAGGAAGGGGACCCAGGCACAGCCGCGGGTGGGGGTGGGGGCCACTACAGGAAGGGGACCCAGGCACAGCCGCGGGTGGGGGTGGGGGCCACTACAGGAAGGAAAGGGAACCCAGGCACAGCCGCGGGGGGGGGTGGGGGCCACTACAGGAAGGAAAGGGAACCCAGGCACAGCCGCGGGTGGGGGTGGGGGCCACTACAGGAAGGAAAGGGAACCCAGGCACAGCCGCGGGTGGGGGTGGGGGCCACTACAGGAAGGAAAGGGACCCAGGCACAGCCGCGGGTGGGGGTGGGGGCCACTACAGGAAGGAAAGGGACCCAGGCACAGCCGCGGGTGGGGGTGGGGGCCACTACAGGAAGGAAAGGGACCCACGCACAGCCGCGGGTGGGGGTGGGGGCCACTACGGGAAGGAAAGGGACCCAGGCACAGCCGCGGGTGGGGGTGGGGGCCACTACAGGAAGGAAAGGGACCCAGGCACAGCCGCGGGTGGGGGTGGGGGCCACTACAGGAAGGGGAACCCAGGCACAGCCGCGGGTGGGGGTGGGGGCCACTACAGGAAGGAAAGGGACCCAGGCACAGCCGCGGGGGGGGGGGGGGGCCACTACAGGAAGGAAAGGGACCCAGGCACAGCCGCGGGTGGGGGTGGGGGCCACTACAGGAAGGGGAACCCAGGCACAGCCGCGGGTGGGGTGGGGGCCACTACAGGAAGGAAAGGGACCCACGCACAGCCGCGGGTGGGGGTGGGGGCCACTACGGGAAGGAAAGGGACCCAGGCACAGCCGCGGGTGGGGGTGGGGGCCACTACGGGAAGGAAAGGGACCCAGGCACAGCCGCGGGTGGGGGTGGGGGCCACTACAGGAAGGAAAGGGACCCAGGCACAGCCGCGGGTGGGGGTGGGGGCCACTACAGGAAGGAAAGGCACCCAGGCACAGCCGCGGGTGGGGGTGGGGGCCACTACAGGAAGGGGAACCCAGGCACAGCCGCGGGTGGGGGTGGGGGCCACTACAGGAAGGAAAGGGACCCAGGCACAGCCGCGGGTGGGGGTGGGGGCCACTACAGGAAGGGGAACCCAGGCACAGCCGCGGGTGGGGGTGGGGGCCACTACAGGAAGGAAAGGGACCCAGGCACAGCCGCGGGTGGGGGTGGGGGCCACTACAGGAAGGAAAGGGACCCAGGCACAGCCGCGGGTGGGGGTGGGGGCCACTACAGGAAGGGGAACCCAGGCACAGCCGCGGGTGGGGGTGGGGGCCACTACAGGAAGGAAAGGGACCCAGGCACAGCCGCGGGTGGGGGTGGGGGCCACTACAGGAAGGGGAACCCAGGAACAGCCGCGGGTGGGGGTGGGGCCACTACAGGAAGGAAAGGGACCCACGCACAGCCGCGGGTGGGGGTGGGGGCCACTACGGGAAGGAAGGGACCCAGGCACAGCCGCGGGTGGGGTGGGGGCCACTACGGGAAGGAAAGGGACCCAGGCACAGCCGCGGGTGGGGGTGGGGGCCACTACAGGAAGGAAAGGGACCCAGGCACAGCCGCGGGTGGGGGTGGGGGCCACTACAGGAAGGAAAGGGACCCAGGCACAGCCGCGGGTGGGGGTGGGGGCCACTACAGGAAGGGGAACCCAGGCACAGCCGCGGGTGGGGGTGGGGGCCACTACAGGAAGGAAAGGAACCCAGGCACAGCCGCGGGTGGGGGTGGGGGCCACTACAGGAAGGAAAGGGACCCAGGCACAGCCGCGGGTGGGGGTGGGGGCCACTACAGGAAGGGGAACCCAGGCACAGCCGCGGGTGGGGGTGGGGGCCACTACAGGAAGGAAAGGGACCCAGGCACAGCCGCGGGTGGGGGTGGGGGCCACTACAGGAAGGAAAGGGACCCAGGCACAGCCGCGGGTGGGGGTGGGGGCCACTACAGGAAGGAAAGGGACCCAGGCACAGCCGCGGGTGGGGGTGGGGGCCACTACGGGAAGGAAGGGGACCCAGGCACAGCCGCGGGTGGGGGGTGGGGCCACTACAGGAAGGAAAGGGACCCAGGCACAGCCGCGGGTGGGGGTGGGGGCCACTACGGGAAGGAAGGGGAACCCAGGCACAGCCGCGGGTGGGGGTGGGGGCCACTACAGGAAGGAAAGGGACCCAGGCACAGCCGCGGGTGGGGTGGGGGCCACTACAGGAAGGAAAGGGACCCAGGCACAGCCGCGGGTGGGGGTGGGGGCCACTACAGGAAGGAAAGGGACCCAGGCACAGCCGCGGGTGGGGTGGGGGCCACTACAGGAAGGAAAGGGACCCAGGCACAGCCGCGGGTGGGGGTGGGGGCCACTACAGGAAGGAAAGGAACCCAGGCACAGCCGCGGGTGGGGGTGGGGGCCACTACAGGAAGGAAAGGAACCCAGGCACAGCCGCGGGTGGGGGTGGGGGCCTCTCTGGGAAGGAAAGGAACCCAGGCACAGCCGCGGGTGGGGGTGGGGGCCTCTCTGAGAAGGAAAGGAACCCAGGCACAGCCGCGGGTGGGGGTGGGGGCCACTACAGGAAGGAAAGGGACCCAGGCACAGCCGCGGGTGGGGGTGGGGGCCACTACGGGAAGGAAGGGGAACCCAGGCACAGCCGCGGGTGGGGGTGGGGGCCACTACAGGAAGGAAAGGGACCCAGGCACAGCCGCGGGTGGGGGTGGGGGCCACTACGGGAAGGAAGGGGAACCCAGGCACAGCCGCGGGTGGGGGTGGGGGCCACTACAGGAAGGAAAGGGACCCAGGCACAGCCGCGGGTGGGGGTGGGGGCCACTACAGGAAGGAAAGGGACCCAGGCACAGCCGCGGGTGGGGGTGGGGGCCACTACAGGAAGGAAAGGGACCCAGGCACAGCCGCGGGTGGGGGTGGGGGCCACTACAGGAAGGAAAGGGACCCAGGCACAGCCGCGGTGTGGGGTGGGGGCCACTACAGGAAGGAAAGGAACCCAGGCACAGCCGCGGGTGGGGGTGGGGGCCACTACAGGAAGGAAAGGGACCCAGGCACAGCCGCGGGTGGGGGTGGGGGCCACTACAGGAAGGAAAGGGACCCAGGCACAGCCGCGGGTGGGGGTGGGGGCCACTACAGGAAGGAAAGGAACCCAGGCACAGCTGCGGGTGGGGGTGGGGGCCACTACAGGAAGGAAAGGGACCCAGGCACAGCCGCGGGTGGGGGTGGGGACCTCTCTGAGAAGGAAAGGAACCCAGGCATAGCCGCGGATGGGGGTGGGGGCCTCTCTGAGAAGGAAAGGAACCCAGGCACAGCCGCGGGTGGGGGTGGGGGCCACTACAGGAAGGAAAGGGACCCAGGCACAGCCGCGGGTGGGGGTGGGGGCCACTACGGGAAGGAAGGGGAACCCAGGCACAGCCGCGGGTGGGGGTGGGGGCCACTACAGGAAGGAAAGGGACCCAGGCACAGCCGCGGGTGGGGGTGGGGACCTCTCTGAGAAGGAAAGGAACCCAGGCACAGCCGCGGGTGGGGGTGGGGGCCTCTCTGAGAAGGAAAGGAACCCAGGCACAGCCGCGGGTGGGGGTGGGTGGAACCGAAGCCCATGATTTCATGGGAAATCAATGCCCAGACGAAACCTGCATTCCTCAGCCTCAGTTCGGTGCGGTGCGGCTCGTAACTGCATGGCTGCCGGAGCACCGCTGGCAGTGCCTGCATGGGTTGCCCAGGGCCAGTCAGAAACATTCATGTAAACATCACAGCGCTAAAGAGAAACCTGCAGACGGAACTTTTAATTCACCTGTGATAAGTTTACTAGATCGTGTTTAGATGATCCACAAGTTCTAGGTAATACTATCTTTATTAAAAAATAAACTGTGGGTGTTTAAAGAGGACACTGCAGGTAAAAGGAACCTGTAAATATAGAAACAGACTATCTGATAGAGCTTGTAATATCTCAATCCCCCTCTCCGCAATACAGAACGGAGGAGAAAGGGTCTTCTCTCACGGCAGGTGGAATTGCTGAAGTATCTACTCTCCTGCCCTTTTTGTCTGGAAGGGTCTCCAAGGGATGGAATAACTTTCTGGAGGTGTGGTTTCTGCCTCAAACAGGGCCCATTTATTAATTACTTTGGAGCAAAATGAGTAAATTTTTGCACAAACCATTAAACTATGTTTTTGTTATAGCTAACGTTAAAATGGAATTGATAAGAGAAAACACTAGTACTCCTCTTAAAAGGATAATGAAATATCTAATAAAATTAGGTTTCCATCAAAACGTCCATCACTGGCCTAGAGGATGTCTGGCACATCCAGACGGCAGCCAGAAGGTGGGTCCCTCCTCCAAGAGAAGCGGGCTGATTGGGGGGACACCGCAGCCCCCAGGACCAGGGAGAGAGTTGGGTTGAGGGTGCAGCCACATGATTTTGATATGCAAGCCCCTCTTCGAGTATAGCAGAGAGAAGAAACCTGCCGAAACGCAAGCGGCAAATGGCTGATGTTGTTTTGAAGTGTGTGTGAACCTTGAATACCCACATGGAGGAGCTCCGTTTACCGTCCTCAGAACAGGAGGTTTTCAGTGCACAGGAGCCAGTCACCCATAAAAACGTGCACACTGCACGAATGGCACTTCCTATACAAAACAGTATTACAATCCGACGGCGGAGATGAGGCGAAGAGCTGAAATGAGATTAGGCACCATATATTAGGCTGCAAATTGTGCGGTGAACATTATCATGAAGCCCCTGCTGGTCTCAGGGGACCGCTGGCCTCTGGAGGCAACGGGCACAGAACACTGATCTGAATATGAAACCTGAATGCCTACGGAGGGTTCAATCCAATGTATCACTAACCTTGGCAATCCTTCCAACTTTGATTTGGACACATCAAAATGGAAGAGCACTGTGAGTGTGCGTTATGGAATGGCAGTGATGGTTTATGCTACTCAGCTGACAGCCTCCGGTTCAGAATCGAACGCGTGCCTCTCAGTGTGAGGGGTGAAGGAGGGCTGCCTGGGTTGGACACTTGTCCCATGGAGAGGACACCCCGTTTCCCTTGCCTGGAACTGGACTGGCCCTGGTGGTTCTGCCAACATGGTGGGATGGGTTTGGCACTGTGCTGGCACGTGGCCTGACCCTGATGAGGACCGGCCACTTCCACTGTGGCCTCGAGTCATCATGTGGGACGTTTGATTGCTCTGCAGGGGAGTCTGCCTGGGGAGGCCCCAAGGCCGCTGGAGACGGGAGCCCTGTGGGGCAGTTTTCCAGCCGCTCCCCCGGCCCAGCCGCACCTGGGCCACCCAGAGGCCTCCGCTGCCTGTGAGAGCAGCACCTAGCTGGCACCACCACTGCTGAGCGCTGCCTGTGAGAGCAGCACCTAGCTGGCACCACCACTGCTGAGCGCTGCCTGAATCCCAACCCTCCAAACCCCGAGACCTAATAATGCTGCTGCTGCCCCAGTGCTAAGCTCTGCAATCATTTGTGTTGTAGCAATACGAAGCAGGAACAACCGTGCCAGCTACTGTGTATGTCCTTTCGCCCTTCCTAACCTTCCACACAGCAGTTATTATTCAATATATTGGTGACCACTCAAGTTAAAAACGTGTTTAGTAATTCTTGAGAAAAGGGCCAATCACACAAACTTTTAATTTAAACACGAGGTTAAACACAGTGAAGAAGAACACCTGATTCCAGTGAGTAGGCAAAGAAACCCTCAGAAGAAGCTCCAGCCCCCAGTCCACAGGGCCCAGAGGTGACAGCATTCTGGAGCCAGGTGCCGAGGCACCAATCCCACCCCACCCCAACCAGCTGTGTGAACAAGGGTAAGCGGCTTAATTCGTCTGTGCCTCTGTTTCCTCATTTGTACAAGAGTGAGAATAATAGTACCCCTTGTTGTTATCAAGAAGATGAAGTGAGTTAATACTTACAAAGTGCCTGGCACAGAATTAGTGCTGTGTGTTTGGTATAAGATTAAAACACACCAGGCTGGGTGCAGTAGCTCACACCTGTAATCCCAGCACTTTGGGAGGCTGAGGCGGGAGGATCACCTGAGGTTAAAAGTTCAAGACCAGCCTGGTCAACATAGTGAAGGCACAGCTCTACCAAAAATATAAAAAACATTAGCTGGGTGTGGTGGTGGGCACCTGTAATACCAGCTACTAGGGAAGCTGAGGCAGGAGAACTGCTTGAACCCAGGAGGTAGAGGTTGCAGTGAGCACTGCAGGCTGCACTCCAGCCTGGGAAACAAGGGTGAGACTCCGTCGCAAAAAAATAAAATTAAAATAAAGCAATTCTTTTCTTGATCCTTCCTCTGAAAATACTGTCCCCTACAAACTAGAGCCCAAGGCTGGCACCTGCACTAGGTGACTCGCGGGCCCTCATTACATTCTACACCATTTCCCAAAAGTGCCTGGGAAGATACCAGGAGAATGACTCTGCACACCTGTGAAAGTGAAGACACAGCACAGCCCTGCGTGGGGCAGGACCTTGCTCACAGCCCTGCAGTGTGGCAGGACCTGGCTTGGACTGGGTTTTGCTGAGGGGATTGAGTCCATGATTCTGCAGTGCTGGGCTGGCCCAGGGCGGCGGCCTCAGAAGGGCCTGCAGAGCTTGTCCTGCACCCTCGAGATTCTTGCTCCCTGGTTTTCACCCTCGCAGGTGACTCTCAGCACAGGCAGGATTCAAAACTACTCATTAGGATAATTCCAGAAAAACATGTCACAGAACTAACAATTTTCTTTGGAAAATAAGGCACATTATAGAATCTAAACTTACCAGGATCACCGTGGGAGGACTGCTATTTTAATTCAGGAAGAGGGCAGGTCTTACATTTGCCAACTTATAGACTGAGATCAAGAGACAGGTAACGGAAGCATCCACATGGAGGGACTCTCCCCCGCCATTCTCCTGAGAGCTACCCGGCCTGCCCCCGGCCTCTCCAGGGAAGGCTCCCTGCAGACCCACATGCCCACCATGGGCCTCCTTATCTCCAGCCCCAGCAGCTGAAGGACAGTTATCTGCTCTAATAATGGAAGATGCATTTTCATGGCTAATCCCTAATCGGGCCCTCCAATCTGTCCTTGCAATGTGTCACGACATCTCACACGTTCAGGAGACGCACCCATGCTGTGTGAGTCGCTTTCCAGGTCAAAGCTGCCTTTGTCTCCCTTCCTACCTCCATTTTCAACTGCCCTTGTTCCCTCCCTGTCATTCCACCACCTGCCCTTTCAGGTTTCTTGTGGTCTGACTAGTCGATTCCCAGGAATCAAGGAAGTTTTTAATATTCTGAAGTTGCTATTTACCCCTCCCCTTCAGTCCTCGTGTGACAACTTCTGGAGAAAGGAGTAGAAAGAAGGTTCATGATACAAAGTGCTCATCAGATCCAACTCCACAGAAGGTGCCATAGGTTGCTGCTCTCACTACCTCTGCCTTCAGCCAGAATCAGGAAATTTGAAGCCATCTTCCCATGAGGCTATGGCTGGAGCCCGGAGAACTCGTTTCTCTGGAAGCTGTCACATGAGGACCAGAGCTGAGGGCTGAAGAGCATCTCCAGAGCTGCAGAGCAGCTCCGCAGAGTGGGGGAGGTCCTGACAGGTGGGCTCCGTCCCAAGCACTGCACTGGCGCTCTGCTCCCCTCTCCTGTCTTTGGTGGCAGGGGCTGCCCCTGGGGTCGGGTGGGCTCCAGCCATCAAGGATGCTCTAATCCTGTGCTCTGGCCCCTGCCTGTGACCCTATAAAGCTGGGAACCCTGGGCAGGCTCAGCACTGGGATTCCGGGAGCCTGGCTGTGCCCTGGGCACCCCTGCCCAGCACCCTCCCAAGACTGCAGCTCCATGAGCCCAGGGATGAGTCAGCAGCTTGCTATCACCGAGGCCAGCAGGAGAGGAGGCTGGAAAGCAGAAGTGTCCCACGGGCAGGCACATCATCCGCACCCCTGACGAAGGACCAAGACTGCTAGTCCCCAGCCTCAAGGCTGCAGAGTCAGCAAAAAAAAAAAAGGATACAGTTCCAAAGTTTTCAGAGTGGCTGGTAAAGGGTCTTCTGGACCAGGGGTAGCAGGCCTAGGACTATTTCTCTGAGAAAAGGACAGCACCCAAGAGCAGCCACCCGGTATACTGAGCTTGGAGGGAAGCTGAGCTCTTAGCCTGACAGGCAGTGCCGGCCACGGCCATGGCCACTGTGGGGAAACAGGGCTCAGGGAAAAGCTCAGACATGTAGCTTTGGAGATAAAGGGAAGAAGTCAGTTTCTCACCGGGACACACAATGTTTAGGGGGAATCGTGGAATCTCTCAAAGGCAGATTCTTTCTCTCACTTTGCATTTCCTCACTGGGTAATGAGGTTGAACATATCTTCATGTGCTTCAAAGGTAGGCAGGAATCAGAAATCATAAATATTACAATAGCACATACGCAGTTTATTCCCATGCTGATATTTCAGCTCTCAAATATTATTCCTGTTCCTATTTATGATGCATGTGATTCCTATCCCTACATTCAGGAATATGAGAAACTGCCATGATTTCTCTACCTCTCAAAGGTAAATCCTCTCTCTTGCTTCCTCCAGCTCTTTCCAAGCAGCAAATATTCATTCCACACTCAGAATAAATTCAGGTTCTGTGTGGGTTGGTTGTATATACAATTTAAATCCCTGTGGCACTGTTCTTTAATTAAATCTCAAAACAGGAGGAGAATCACCTCACAGCGTCCGGGACTGCAGCTCCCTCCAGGACGAACGGCCCTTCACCAATCAGAGTGCACTAGTGAATCAGAGAATCAAGCCGACTAGTACTTCATGCGGATGGAAAAAGATGCGTTTTTTTAAACCTCAATCTGGTGGTAAACTATGTTTGAAACCCTTTCGGAACTGAAGTATCAGCCCAGGAATAAACTGTGTGTGTCCTTCATAGAAATAGTTCTTACAACTTTGCAAACTTATTGCTCAGCATTTTTTGTTTCCTTTAATAAAGATCATAGTTTTATTCTTACCCTAGACTGGGAAAAGGAAAGTAAGAATCGTACAAACAGGCTCATCTCAAAGGCATCCCCCTTCTCTGCAGAATCAGAACAGGATGGGGACAATCAAGCTTGAGGACAGGCCCCAGGCTGTCCCATACACACGGGGCTCCTCGCAGGGGTCCTGCTGGGTCTGGGGTGGGGGTGTTTGCTGTCCACCCACTAGATGCTGATAGTAGCCCCTGCTTTGACAACCAGACCGTCTGCAGGCATTGGCAGATGTCCCTTAGGGGCAAATCACACCTAATTAGGGGTCGTTGGTCTAGACAGAGGAGTACTAGAGAGGAAGTGAAATGGCCAGTCCATTTCCTAGTATACCTGGTGGCAACATGGTTTTCATAAAGACACTATTTATTTATTTATTTATTTATTTTTTGAGATGAAGCCTTGCTCTGTCGCCACGCTGGAGTGCAGTGGCGTGATCTCAGTTCATTGCAACATCTGCCTCCTGGGTTCAAGCAATTCTCCTGCCTTGGCCTCCTGAGTGGGATTAGGGGTGTGTGCCACCAGGCCTGGCTAATTTTTGTATTTTTAGTAGAAATGGGTTTTTGCCACGCTGGCGAGGCTGGTTGCACTCCTGACCTGCAGTGATTCACCTGTCTCAGCCTCCCAAAGTGCTGGGATTACAGGTGTGAGCCACGGTGCCCAACCCAGACACATTTCATCAAACCTCTACTCTTAACAAACTACAAATGATGACGGTATACTCTCAAAACTCGACTTTTAAAAGAATAATTTGAAAGTAGGGACAACACACAGGATAGGAGGCTGACTGAAGGTGGGAAGTGACTTCAGTCCTTAAGACAAGTGCCCCCCAGGTGGTGGCTCTTGTAGATGACACAGAAGCAGGGAACAAGCTAATAAACCACAGATCAATGAGACTCCATCAACATGGAGAACCTCTGACACCATCAAGCAGGGGACACATCACCCAGAGAAGCGGAGAAAATATTTGCCAATCGTAGATCTGACAAAGATCCTGTATCCACAACATGTAAAGGATTCCTACAACTCAACAACAAAAAGACAAAAACTCAGGTTTGAAAGACGGGCAAAGAATGTGAATAGACATTTCTTTACAGAAGATACACAAATGGCCAACTAGCACATGAAAAGATGCTCAACATTATTACCCAGTAAGGAAATGAAATGAAACCACCATGAGATGCCACCTGTGGGATGGCCAGAGTCACAAAGACTAATGGCAGTTGCCGGTGAGGATGTGGATGTCAGGAGGCTCGTGGAAGAAAGTCTGGCAGTTCCTCAAAAAGCGAAACATAAAGATACCACATGGCCCACAGCTTCACTGCTAAGGACACACCCAAGAGAAATAAAATATGTCCACACAAAGCTTGTACAGGATTCTTCACAGTACCATATTTTATATCAGCCAAGAGGTAGAAACTACCCCAATATCCATCAACCAGTTAATGAATAAATGAAATATGGGACAGTCCTACAGAGGGATACTACCCAGCAATAAAAAGGAATGAAGTATTGGTACGTGCTACACCGTGGGTGAACCTCAAAAACATTATGCTACATGAAAGAATCCTCTCACAAAAGCCTGTGTTTTCATGTAAGATTCCACCAGTATAAAACATCAGAACACGCACATGATAGACACTGGGAGTGCATCAGGTGTTGTGGGGACTGGGGAATAGAACAAGGTTGGGTGCGGGTGAGCAGTGACTGCTAATAGGTATGGAGTTTCTTTCAGGGTTGACAAAAACGCATTAAAATTAGATTGTGGTGATGGTTGCACAATCGTGTGAATGTACTAAAAGCATGGATGTCAACACCAGTGTGCACCCAACAGTCAGGACCCAGTGAGATGCTGAGAGATGGTGACTGGACATGTGGCTCAGGGAAGAACCACAGGATCCTTCCTCCCTGCAGCCCCTGGCTGGCCCAGGTGGTCTAGGGAACGCCGTGTGGTTCAGAAGGACAAAGAATCCTTCCTCCCTGCAGCTGCTGGCTGGCATAGGTGGTCTAGGGAATGTCGTGTGGTTCAGAAGGACGAGGAATCCTCCCTCCCTGCAGCAGCTGGCTGGCCCAGGTGGTCTAGGGAACGCCGTGTGGTTCAGAAGGACGAGGAATCCTCCCTCCCTGCAGCAGCTGGCTGGCAGGTGGTCTGGGAAACAACATGTGATTCAGAAGGACAAGGAATCTTCCCTGCAGCAGCTGGCCCAGGTGGTCTAGGGAACACCACATGTTTCAGTGCCAGGATCCCAGACTGGTTTTAAAACGGGAGGAATTAATGTTTAAGGAGACTATTCTCTTTAACTAATTGCTAGTCTAACTATTCTGCTTCTGGATAGAGTATCTTTTGTTTTTGTTTGTGAGACACAGTCTCGTTGTGTTGCCCAGCCTAGAGTGAAGTGGTGCAATCTCAGCTCACTGCAACCTCCGCCTCCTGGGATTGAACGATTCTCATGCCTCAGCCCCCAGAGTAGCTAAGACCGCCACATCCGGCTAAGAGTTTAGTTTTTTTTTTTTTTGTATTTTTAGTAAAGATGAGGTTTTGCCATGTTGGCCAGGCTGGTCTTGAACTCTTGACCTCAAGTGATCTGCCCACCTTGGCCTCCCAATGGGCTGGGATTACAGGCATGAGCCACCAGGCCCCACCTAGAGTGATTATTTGAATGGGTTTATGAATAAAGACTCGGTAAACACTTCCTGCCCAACACTGCTCAAAGCTGAGGACCCAGAGGAAAAGTTCCACAACGTCACTAATCTCCATTTCAAATCCAGGAGCCTTTTCTTTCAGAAGTGTTGGCAGTAGCAGAGGAAAACACATGAAGCACTTTCCATAACACGAGACTACGAGACCCCAGGATTTGTTTGTAAAGAAACTACACCAGAGAAATGGAAACAGAGTCCACATAAAAAGGTGCACTTGCACTTTGTTTATGGAAGAGTTATTCACGATAGCAAAAAAACTATAAACCCACACATCTACCGACAGATGAGTGGGTCAGCAAAATGTGTATATTATTATAAAGACAATTATATAACAAAATGTGTACATTCTATACAATGGGATATTACTTAGCTGTATTTTAATATAATATATAAAAAAGAATAAAGCACTGATATATGCTACAACACGGATGAACCCTGAAAGCGTGAAAGAATCTGGACACGAAAGATCACGTCAATGATTCCATTCAGAGGAAGTATCTTCAGGGGCGAACCCTGGAGACAGGACGTGAGCCAGCGATTGCAGAGGGCTGTGGGGGGATGGGAGGGGTTGGTAAAGGATACAGGTTTCTTTCTGAGGTGAGGTCAGTGTTGTAGACTGACTGTTGGGACAGCTGCACGTACCCAGGAATCTAATAAAAAAGATGGCACTGTAAACTTTAAGTGGGTGAATTGTATGTCATTTGAATTACATCTCGATAACGCTGTTTTTTTAAAAAACCCATCAATGCTCAGTGTATGGGTAGTTAAAAATGAAACATCATCACAGCATTATTGAAAGGGAGTTTGGAGCCACACACTGGGGGAGCTCAGGGAGCCATGTTCCCGGGAAAACATGACTTACGTTAGTGAACGGCCCTTGTAGTTTAAAGTCACACTCTGTGAGACCATTTCGTACTGTAATTAAGATGGCGGTGTTTAAATAATAGGTACTGTGAAGCTTGTCAGAATCAAAACAGAGTCACTTGGGTTAAAATGCTGAAAAACAGAGCCAGGAAAGGCCACGAAGGAAGAATTTTCATGCACAAAAGCCTGACAACAAGAGCTACTACAGAAGACTGCAAAAATCACAACCTCACCAAGAGGCCATCACAA